TACATTTGAAGTATCGATCAAAACATCAGATTACGGAATAGTGATGCATGGAGATGTGATCGAATTAGCCTAAGAATGTCAAATTATTAGTTAATTGCACGCACAACATGTAGAGATGTTAAACGGGCTAGCCCTAGCGGTTTCGGGCTAGCCTTAGCGGGCTTCGGGTTAAACGGTCCGGGCTTAAAAAGCCCGGATTTTAACGGGCTACCAAAAAAATGACCTAACCCTAACCCTAGCGGGCTTCGGGCTAAACGGGCTACGCGGGCTATAATAATAATAATAATAATAATAATAATAATAATAATAATAATAATAATAATAATAATAATAAATAAAAAATAAAGAGTAAAAAGTATATAAAAAATAACAACGGATAGTTAAAAATTGTTTTCAACAACTATTTAGTATTTATTGTCTATCACTATGTTTCATGTGTCTGCTATTGGTCATTCTGATTGGCTTAAGTATTTTGGTATGAAGTATAACAATATTGTTAATAATTATCTTTCAAAATTATAATAATCCATTACACTCATACTTCCATGTGAAGTGGCATACCAATATTGTAATATACAAAGAATCTAAGAGCATATTACTTATTTGATGCAAACATTAACACCGCTCAACCCTAGTTAAACGGGCCAGCCCTAGCGGGCTTCGGGCTAAACGGTCCGGGCCAAAAAAAGCCCTGATTTAAACGGGCTACTAATAAAAGGACCTAACCCTGTTTTTTTCCGGGCTAAACGGGCCGGCCCGTCGGGCCAAAGACCATTTAACATCTCTAATATTAACATTACCAATGAGTGCATGCCACCAACACGGTGGGCATATTAATATGTGTCCACCGTGGGTAGGGGAACATTTCTATTATGACGAGAACCATTTACGTTAATTATTTTATACAATTTTGAATTATATTATTTTTTATTGCAACTAACCTATAATTACTTAAACTTATTTAAAGTTATGTTAAATTCAAATTTGCATATATAATTTTTTTTTAACTTATTTTATATACAAAATAACCAATCATATGTGCATATTACTAGCTCGTTTAAATTATGACTATTTCTATGCTCAAACTATATAGTAGGTGAAATACGATAAATATTAATAGTCAAATCAGCTAATATAATCCGATATCCGTTATCCGCCAAACAAAGCCTGGTAGGTGAAATACGATAAATATTAATGGTCAAGTTGTAACATGTTCTACATAAAGCTACGACAATTTAATCAATGTCAATCAAATTCATGATAGGAATATATAAGTACATTTATACAGACAAGAATTGGACTTCCACTACGCATTTATATATATTTGTACTAGCAAGGGAAATTACATATTTGTTGGGCACAAATATATATTAATTAAAATATATTAATTTATCAGTTTTATTTTTGAAAAAAAAAAGGTGTCGGTGAGTTGGGTCGGCAGAGGGGTTACGTTAGATGGCCCAGTTGGCACATCGACAAGTCATGGCCCACAATAAATAAAAAAACCCAATTAAAATGTGTGTAAAGTTCACATTCATAGATTTTTCCGTGTGAACTGATTTCATGCTTGATAGTTAATACGCTACTTAACATTATTATGTTTTCTTTAGTCAGATTGTGAAATAGTACAATTTTTCATTCAAGCTCCCATTTTTTCGTCAAATTCGACCCTACCTTGTGGCCCGTGGCCCATTTCTCACGGGTCTGAATCATCGGATCATATATATACTCGTATGAGTGTGTGCTGATCAAACGGTTAAAACCATTAAGGTGAAATGCACTTATTTTACCGTAAAAAATCAAATATAGGTTTATAATAGTATGCGAGCATATCAATTTTTCAATTAAACAACAAAATTAATGTAGGCGAGATAATAAAGTAATTGGAAACATAGTTGCAAACGAAAAGAACAGCTCCTGAGCCATTGAGTCATCGAGCTCAAGTTTGACTGAGCACGAGTCAAACTAGAGCACCTCAAACAAAAACTCAAGGCGAACATGGTGAGCCTCGATGTTATTAGCTCAAGTGATTAATGAGCAACTCGAGTACAGATGCAATATACCTAAATACCTCTAACTCGAGCTAAATTCGAGTCAAACTTGAGCTAAATTCTAGCAAAAAATCTAGATAGATTCTTATTCGAATAGAATAATTTTTTTATTGAATATTCAAGTCGAACTTGAGCATAATAAACTAATGAAATGCGACTTGACCTCAAGCTGATCCGAGCACTTGTATTCCTTTTTTCCGAGTCGAGCCAAATCTTAGAAAGCGGAACTTGAGCAACAGCTAAAAAGATCGAATCTAACATAGAAATAACAAATGTCAGTAGCTGAAAGAACTTGTGATCTCGATAGAAATAACAAAATGTCAGTAGCTGAAAGAACTTGTGATCTCGATCAATATAGTGGAAAGTTTTTTAAATAACATTTGTGAGGTTTGGGCCGGGAAAACATTACTGGGCCTTAAAATCAAAACTGAATTTGTGTGGCTCCAAAACTAAGACTCAATGTCTACCTCTGATAAGTTGGCCCAACTAAATCCATTAGAAATATCAATAAACGACCCACAATAGTACACACAAAACAATTTTTCAACCAACATAAAAATCATAGTAAAATTTTCAAAACCATAAATTTCTCATGAAAATTGTATAAATAGATTCACTGCTATACTGCAAAAATAGCCGAGAAAAAGGATAACTCAATTAGTAAAAGAATCAAAACAATGGCCATTGAAAAACGAACTCTTATCAACTAACAAAACTGTCGGGATAACTCCAAAATGCACATTGTTCTTGCAAAAGGAAAAGGAAAACTACACTTTCCATGAACTCAAATCACGATTTTTCCTTTTGAGACGAAAAAAAACTACCCGGTTTTTTTCATCGCTTGTTACAAGCACGTCCTTCTTTGATGCCTCGATTTTCCTTATGAAAATATCTGTAATACACATACTGCAATATTATCTGTAGTTTACCAGTTAAGGTTTGTTAAGGTTAATGAAAAAACATTATAGCTCGAAAAGAATTAGCTAAAAAGACTAAATTCGAAAAGGATACGAATAAGTCCAAAATTACACAGCCCACAGCATCAAGCAGCCACGGCATATTCGCTCTAATTTTATCCCACGCAATCGACCTCACTAATATGCTGCATAAAAGTGCAAAAAGCTTTTTATCAGCATTAGTTTCTGAATTTGGAACTGTAAATTGTAAACTTTCGAACGAACCATTTTTTTTACCTGGCTACGTAAGTAGCATTAGCAACAAGTGCAAATATGAACATGAAAGGATTCAATCCCTACACAAAGTTAAAATATCAAGATTATAATAAGTTATTTCTTTGATTCAAATCACAAAATTTTCAAAATTGATTAAAAGGATTTACCTCGACACTTCCTCTTTTGATCTGGTTCATTCGAAACAAACACATTATTAACATGAAAATTTCGATTGAACAAATATTTTTTGAGGGTAACTTATATACAAATCGAATTAATAATAATATATACTTACATTCAACCATATTTGAGGTAACCTTCCACCCATGTAAACGGTAGCCATCATCCAACCCAACAACTGACCATACACAGTTTCTGTTCCTTGTTCCTAATCACAATCAAAATAAATCAAACTTAAACAGCTGAAAATAATATATATACAAGAATTCAAATTCAATTTACACTTACTTGCAACAATTTTCTCCCGGTTAATCCAATGTACACTAAAGCATTGCTTTCTCGGGGAAGATTCATTGACGTAGCAAAAAATGCCCCATATCCTGCCTGACTTATGGATAAGGATAATTTTAAAATACCCGTAACATTCAGCTTAATTTAAAAAAAAAAAAAAAAATTACAGAACAACTAACTACCTAAACACTTTCTGAAACAGTTCAAAAATGTCTCAAAGGAATGTTCATATTTTTGGAAGTGACCGGTGGCCCTTTTTTCCGATTTGGTCTCTCAATTAGACTAAACAGAGGAAATATGAATTTAGTTCTATAATTCAGAATTAGAAAGGGACTTGAGGGCAAGAATCAGAGGTTCAGATTCTTATTATGTCCTTTTTTGAAAAGTAAGCTTTTGCTAGTGGAGCTATCCATGGCATTATATTCATTAAACTTCTCTCAACTAGCTGACTGTCCAAGCACAATGACTAAAAAAGGCTAAAAAAGTGGTCCAATTAGTAAACAAATTCTATAGGCCAAGCACTACAAACAAGTGGCAACAAAAATCCAAGAAATGTCTTAACATTTGGAACCCAATCAAGTCAAACTAGAGAGTTCGTGCATCGATTTGATCAACAAATATTCGCAGCCGGAAAAAATAACTCACTGATCGGGAGATCGGTTTGGGCCTGCTGGCTGTTTGTGTGGCCAGGATCGTATTTGGACTTGGGCTTGGACTTGGATTTACCTCGTCATCAGAAGACGAGTCGTTTTCGAGCCCAAGTGCCGATGGGCCACTCTTTATCGGCCAAAGGTAAGAACGAATAGGCGGGGTCATGCTCCCAGCCAGTGATCTTGCTGACCTGCACAATTTTGATTTTTCTTCTTCCTTTAGAAAAAAAAATGAATTACATTTGTCCTTTTTTCTCACACACAAAAGTGAATAATGACATTCACATTACACCACTACAACATAATTTTGCAAATAAGATCACAACATTTCTGATTGATTAAGCGAACGCACGTGTAATAGTAGGCTTCCGTTCGGCGTGTGCCGTTTGGTATAGGGATGGCTGAATCATTCGGCTGTGAGGGTCTGAGAGGTTTCTTTATGTCGTCCTCCTGAAAAACGTATAAAACTGTTTATGGAATCGATTTTCGACACGATTTTATGTTTAATTGGGGAAATAAAAAAAAGGTGAAAATTTGCTCAAACCTCTTGGTAATTTGAGTCTTTCTGCTGGCCATGTCTCAACCTTTTGTAGTAATCATAGTAAATGCTCTGCAGGACAAGAATCACTGTGGTGGCCGTGTAGAGCTAAAACAACAAAATTTAAGCAAACAGTTTAAACCCCATTTTACTGTAGAACCAAAAAATGAAGGGAAAAAAACAAGAAAGATGAAAAAAAAAAAAAAAAATTGTTCTCACCACTGCAGTGTAGAGCTGGGTTGGCAACTGTACCACACAAAGAACAATCAAAATTATTAATATTATTATTATTCCTAAATAAAACAAAAAACAACCCAGAATTTCATTTTCTTTCGCTATCTCAAAAACTGATTTAATCGGGCCTAAAAGATTTAGGTACTCACAGTGGCGGGTTCGAGAAGACAGCCCACTAAGTTAAATATGTCTCTGCAAAAGAATACAGCCAAAAAAAACACAAAGAACATCACAGTCCCCACTAATTCTAATTAAACACACATAAAAATGCAATCTTGGCGCAAGAAAATAAGGGTAAAAAAAAGGGCGGGGAGTAAACTGTTAATTACCCAACAACCCAAGTGAGGAGGAAGGCTAGGGAGATGCCATGGCCGGATTTTGCTCTGAAATTAGTGACGATTTGAGGGATCTCGGCCAATCCCCAGCAAACGAGGCTTATCAGCCCAAATCCGAAGGACAATTCGTCTTTCAAGTTGCAGAGGCAGTCGCCGAAGTACCTCTGGGCCCAGCCTATGCACCGCCTTTTCTCCTTCACGCAGTATGATAACGAATTCATCTTTCTCACTCTCTAGTGTGTGTTCTTGTGTGTGTGCGTGTTTTGCAGGTTTTAATGGCGGAGGAGAACAACAGACCAGGTGCAGGTAGTAATGTCCTACGCTTTATACTGAGGTGAGCACTCTCTCTTTGGTATTTTTTTTTATTAATATTTTTTTTTACGGTAATATAATAATAAAATATTGGGACATTTATTCCGTCAAATTAAGGAATTAAAAGAAAAATTGAATTGAGTTTTGAGTATTTTTTTTGGTAGCTAGCCACGGTATCCGGAGATATGTCCCGACTAATCCGTTGGTCGACCCGAGTCGCATACCTGACAGCCCAAGACCCTCTATTGGTAGTTTTGAGTCATTTTTAAATCATTATGTTGTAATAATAAGATGAATAATATGTATACTTGGGTTCAAGTAGCCATCTTCAAATATTGTTACTGTTACATTGTTCAGTTTCTACACACATACACAGACAGAAGGACAAAAATGATTTGATTGAGACAAAAGATGGACATTTTTCGTAAGATTTATCGACATATAAATGTGAAAATTTTGTGCAGTTAGCCCATGCTATTTTCTTGTCCTATGATTATGGTAGATTTGGTGGGTTTTCGCGTGATTCTTGAGTTGACTCAATTGTACATAATTCAGTGATGAAGGTCATGTACGAATGATTCAAACCTTACAAAACAAGGTGACTACAATTAGGATCTAATCCTTTTCTAATTATAACGAATAATAATTCATAGTAAAATTATAGGACATACAAAATGATGGAGAGAGCGGTAGATTGTGTGGT